CAGTATATATACCACTATAATAGAGACACAGTATATAGACTACTATAATAGACACAGTATATATACAGTATATAGACTACTATAATAGAGACACAGTATATATACAGTATATAGACTACTATAATAGAGACACAGTATATATACAGTATATAGACTACTATAATAGAGACACAGTATATATACAGTATATATACTACTATAATAGAGACTACAGTATATATACAGTAGATAGACTACTATAATATAGACACAGTATATATACAGTATATAGACTACATAAATCGAGACACAGTATATATACAGTATATACTACTATAATAAGACACAGTATATATACCCTATAATAGAGACACAGTATATAGACTACTATAATAGACACAGTATATATACAGTATATAGACTACTATAATAGAGACACAGTATATATACAGTATATATACTACTATAATAGAGACACAGTATATATACAGTATATAGACTACTATAATATAGACACAGTATATATACAGTATATAGACTACTATAATAGAGACACAGTATATATACAGTATATATACTACTACTAATAGAGACACAGTATATATTACCACTATAATAGAGACACAGTAAACTAGAGACTAAACTATAATAGACACAGTAATTATACATATATAGACTACTATAATAGAGACACAGTATATATACAGTATATATACTACTATAATAGAGACACAGTAATAATACAGTATATAGACTACTATAATATAGACACAGTATATATACAGTATATAGACTACTATAATAGAGACACAGTATATACAGTATATAACTACTATAAAGAGACACAGTATCTATGACAGTATATAGACTACTAAGAGAGGACACAGTATATATACAGTATATAGGACTACTATAATAGAGACACAGTATATATACAGTGTATAGACTACTATAATAGAGACACAGTATATAGACAGTATATAGACTACTATAATAGAGACACAGTATATATACAGTATATAGACTACTATAATAGAGACACAGTATATATACAGTATATAGACTACTATAATAGAGACACAGTATATACAGTAATATAGACTACTATAATAGAGACAGCAGTATAATACAGTATATATACTACTATAATAGAGACACAGTATATATACATATTAGACTACTATAAAGAGACCGTATTATTCATATAGACTACTATAATAGAGACACAGTTATATACTACTATAATAGAGACACAGTATATATACAGTATATAAATACTATAATAGAGACAAAAGTATATATACAGTATATTACTACTATAATAGAGACACAGTATATAGACTACTATAATAAAAGACAACGTATATATACAGTATATAGACTACTATAATAGAACACAGTTATAACAGTATATAGACTACTATAATAGAGACACAGTATATATACCACTATAATGAGACACAGTTATAGACTACTATAATAGAACACAGTAAAATATACCACTATAATAGAGACACAGTAAATATACCACTATAATAGAGACACAGTATATAGACTACTATAATAGAGACACAGTATATATACCACTATAATAGAGACACAGTATATATACCACTATAATAGAGACACAGTATATAGACTACTATAATAGAGACACAGTATATATACAGTATATAGACTACTATAATAGAGACACAGTATATATACCACTATAATAGAGACACAGTATATATACCACTATAATAGAGACACAGTATATAGACTACTATAATAGAGACACAGTATATATACAGTATATAGACTACTATAATAGAGACACAGTATATATACAGTATATAGACTACTATAATAGAGGACACAGTATATAGACAGTATATAGACTACTATAATAGAGACACAGTATATATACAGTATATAGACTACTATAATAGAGACACAGTATATATACAGTATATAGACTACTATAATAGAGACACAGTATATATACAGTATATAGACTACTATAATAGAGACACAGTATATATACAGTATATATACTACTATAATAGAGACACAGTATATATACAGTATATAGACTACTATAATAGACACAGTATATATACAGTATATAGACTACTATAATAGAGACACAGTATATATACAGTATATAGACTACTATAATAGAGACACAGTATATATACAGTATATATACTACTATAATAGAGACACAGTATATATACAGTATATAGACTACTATAATAGAGACACAGTATATATACAGTATATAGACTACTATAATAGAGACACAGTATATATACTACTATAATAGAGACACAGTATATATACAGTATATAGACTACTATAATAGAGACACAGTATATATACAGTATATATACTACTATAATAGAGACACAGTATATAGACTACTATAATAGAGACACAGTATATATACAGTATATAGACTACTATAATAGAGACACAGTATATATACAGTATATAGACTACTATAATAGAGACACAGTATATATACCACTATAATAGAGACACAGTATATAGACTACTATAATAGAGACACAGTATATATAACCACTATAATAGAGACACAGTATATATACCACTATAATAGAGACACAGTATATAGACTACTATAATAGAGACACAGTATATATACCACTATAATAAGACACAGTATATATACCACTATAATAGAGACACAGTATATAGACTACTATAATTAGACACGTATATAACAGTATATAGACTACTATAATAGAGACACAGTATATTACAGTATATTACTACTATAATAGAGACACAGTATATATACCACTATAATAGAGACATATATAGACTACTATAATAGACACAGTATATATACAGTATATAGACTACTATAAGAGACACAGTATATATACAGTATATATACACTATAATAGAGACACAGTATATATACAGTATATAGACTACTATAATATAGACACAGTATAAAATTTCAGTATATAGACTACTATAATAGAGACACGTTATTATCAGTATATATACTACTATAATAGAGACACAGTATATATACAGTATATAGACTACTATAATAGAGACACAGTATATATACAGTATATAGACTACTATAATAGAGACACAGTATATTACAGTGTATAGACAGTATAATGAGACACAGTATATAGACAGTATATAGACTACTATAATAGAGACACAGTATATATACCGTATATAGACTACTATAATAGAGACACAGTATATATACAGTATATAGACTACTATAATAGAGACACAGTTATATATACAGTGTATGACCACATAATAGAGGACACAGTATATATTACAGTATATAGACTACTATAATAGAGACACAGTATATATATAGTGTATAGACTACTATAATAGAGACACAGTATATAGACAGTATATAGACTACTATAATAGAGACACAGTATATATACAGTATATAGACTACTATAATAGAGACCACAGTATATATACAGTATATAGACTACTATAATAGAGGACACAGTATATACAGTATATAGACTACTATAATAGAGACACAGTATATATACAGTATATATACTACTATAATAGAGACACAGTATATATACAGTATATAGACTACTATAATAGACACAGTATATATACAGTATATAGACTACTATAATAGAGACACAGTATATACGTAATATACCATATAGAGACCAGATATAAAAGTATATAACTACTAAAAATAAGACACAGTATATTTTACATTATAGACTACTATAATAGAGACACAGTATATATACAGTATATAACTATATATAAAACAGTAAATACTACTATAATGGACAAAAGTATATAACATATTAGACTACTATAATAGAGACACAGTATATATACAGTATATACTACTATAATAGAGACACAGTATATAACTACTATAATAGAGACACAGTATATATACAGTATATAGACTACTATAATAGAGACACAGTATATATACAGTATATAGACTACTATATAGAGACACGTATATATACCACTAATAAGACAGTATATAGACTACTATAATAGACACAGTAAAATACACTAAATAGAGACACAGTATATATACCACATAATAGAGACCGTATATGCACTATATAGACACAGTATATATACCACTATAATAGAGACACAGTATATATACCACTATAATAGAGACACAGTATATGACTACTATAATAGAGAAAACAGTATATACTATATAGACTACTTAAATAGAGACACATATATTACCACTATAATAGAGACACATTATATTACAGTATATGACTATATAATAGGACACAGTATATATACGTAATACTACTATAATAGAGACCAATATATATACAGTATATATACATATATAGACTACTATAAAGAGACACAGTATTATACAGTTATAGACTACTATATAGAGACCATATATATAAGTATTAACTACTATAATAGAACAGTTAATACAGTATATAGACTACTATAATGAGACACAGTATATATACAGTATTATACTACTATAATAGAGACCATATATACAATATATAGACTATATAAGAACCAGTATATATACAGTATATAGACTACTATAATAGAGACACAGTAAAATAGACTACTATAATAGAGACACAGTATATAACAGTTAAAAGACTACATAAAAGAGACACAGTAAAATATACAGTATAAAGACTACTATAATAGAGACACAGTATATATACAGTATATAGAACTCTAAGAGACACAGTATATATACATATATCGACTACTATAATAGAGACACAGTATATATACAGTATATAGACTACTATAATAGAGACACAGTATATATACAGTATATAGACTACTATAATAGAGACACAGTATATATACAGTATATAGACTACTATAATAGAGACACGGTACCCATTTTGTAATGGCTGTGGAAAAGAGATCTGTGAGGTTTCAGTCGGGTCATCTTGGGTCAAAATACTGGGTCAGAACAAAGTTAGTCCATTATGGACTAGTGAACTTGTGAAGTGTCGTCGTTGGACAGAATGGATGTTAATAAACCAAGTGACTGACCTGATAATGGCTAACCAGCTCCATACAACCCACACACACACACACACAAGGTCCCTTTCCTCTTCATATCCCAGCATGCTTTGCTCAGGAGGAAGAGGATGAGGTGGGGATTAGTGTGCATGTGTCGCTGTGTTTGTGTGTTTGTGTGTGTGTGTGTCAGTGTCTTTGTGTGTGTGTGTGTGTGTGTGTGTGTGTGAGTGAGATATAAATCTTCCAAATCCTCTTTCCGTCCAGAGACAGTGGGAGAGAGCGCCTGCTACCCTGTGTGTTGTAACACCAACTCTTATCAGGAGAACAACAGAGAAAAGGAATATCAGCAGAAGTCTATTAGCAGGAAGAGGAACACGGAACAGACAAGTAAGATACGTAGGAACCGTGTGTAATGTGACAGCATACAGGTAGAGGTGGGACAGGTAGACTCTGGACAGGTAGAGGTAGGACAGGTAGACTCTGGACAGGTAGACTCTGGACAGGTGGAGGAGGACAGTAGAGTAGGACGGTATAGTAGGACAGTAACTGGCCATGGGCTTTGAATGGTCCACCTCATACAGGCTCCTATGCTCACTGACAACTGATGCAATGTTCTGACCAAGACTGGCTTCCCCTTTCACATAGCTAGTCGTAGTTTTATACTGATTGAAATAAACTTAAGGGTTGTTGGTTTTTCCTCATAAACTTATTTACCACTGTCTGTTCTCTCTGGTCTCCCTCATGCCTCTGAAATTAAATGAGCTCTCGCCGGCTGCCGCATTCCAGGTTTGAGATCTGAGGTATTTACAAGAGCTAACGTAAGGAGCGCTAGCTGACGTTAGTGTTTTTGACGGTGGAGGTTAGTCTTCGACCACATAGTGATATGAGTCTTCATCATTATCATTATCATCATTAGTCCTGAGTGGCGCAGTGACTCCCGAGTGGCGCAGTGGTCTAAGGCACTGCATCGCAGTGCTAGCTGTGCCACTAGAGATCCTGGTTCGAGTCCAGGCTCTGTCGCAGCCGGCCGCGACTGGGAGACCCACGAGCGGCGCACAATTGGTCCAGCGTCGTCCAATGTAGGGGAGGGTTTGGCCGGCAGGGATGTGGGTTCGTTTCCCACGGGGGGCCAGTATGAAAAAAACTATTAAAATGTATGTATTGAATGCATTCACTAGCTGTAAGTCGCTCTGGATAAGAACGTCTGCTAAATGACTAAAATGTAAATGTATTATCTTCATCAGACACGTGATGCAGTTGATCCTATTAGGAGGAGGATGACTTGACAGGCAGGAAAACAACATGGCTGTCTCTTACTAAACAACACGATGGACATAGTTTGATAAGGAGATTAAGACTGCGTCCCAAATGGCACAGTATTCCAATAGGGCCCTGGTCAAAAGTAGTGCACTTCGTAGGGAACAGGGTGCCATTTGGGACATGACTTGAAGTTCTGAGCCTCCAGGCAATCCAGGACGACAGGGGAAGTTTGTTGACAACAATTACTGAGTTACGCTAATACAGTACAATACAGCATGCCAGTTCCTCTTCAGTATGTTATGGATGGTTTGTTTAGAGACTACATCACCAGGAAGGAAAGTAGTTTTATTACTAAGAGATCTGGTCTGGTGATACAGAACAAACTGTCATGAGGAGAAGTTATCATATGATGTTGTTCCTCAGAAACTGACCTGAATGAAAGTTTCACATTCCTATTTCTTATTACATGCAGTCGTGGTCCTCTGTGGCTCAGTTGGTAGTACATGGTGCTTGTAACGCCAGGATAGTGGGTTCAATTCCTGGGACCACCCATACGTAAAAAAGTATATGCACGCATTAATGTAAGTCGCTTTGGATAAAAGCGTCTGCTAAATGGCATATATTAGAGTTATTTAAGATACTCTTCAGAGGGAGGGTTTCAGATGTTTTCCGGAAGATGGGCAGGGACTCTGCTGTCCTGACTTTAGGGGGAAGCTTGTTCCTCCATTGGGGTGCCAGGACAGGGAAGCGCTTGGACTGGGCTGAGGGGAGCTGCCCTCCCGTAGGGGTGGGAGGGCCAAGATACCAGAGATGGCGGAATGGAGTGCTCAGGTTGGGATGTAGGGTTTGAGCATAGCCTGAAGGTAAGGAGGGGCAGTCTTGAAGATGATGCGAGCTTCGACTGAAAGCCAGTGGAGTGTACGGAGGAGTGGGGTGACATGGGAGAACTTACGAAGGTTGAACATCAGGCAGGCTGCGACATTCTGGATAAGTTGCAGGGGTTTGATGGCGGAAGCGGGGAGCCCAGCCAACAGCGAGTTGCAGTAGTCCAGACGGGAGATGACAAGTGCCTGGATTAGGACCTGCGCCGCTTCCTGTGTGAGGAAAGATCATACTTTACGCATGTTGTACAGCATGAACCTGCAGGAGCGAGTCACTGCTTTGAGCGAGCTTGAAATTTAGAGTGGTAGAAAGTGGCTTAAGCAACGGATACAGAAGAAAAGAAGGTAGGGAAGAGGGAGTGAAAGGATGATAGGTCCTCCAGAAGTTTAGTTTTCCTCCATTTCTGCTCAGTTGCCCGAAGCCCTGTTCTGTTAGCATGCAGCGAGTCCCTCAGCCACGGAGCGGGAGGAGAAGGTCGGGCCGGCCGGGAGGAAAGAGGACAGAGTGAATTATAGGATGCGGAAAGGAAGGAGAGTAGGGTTGAAGAGGCAGAATCAGGAGATGGGAGCGAGAAGGATTTAGCAGAAGGAAGAGATGATAGGATAGAAGAGGCGAGAGTAGTGGGAGAGAGAGTGAATATTGCGGCAATGCATGGCCATCTGGGTAGGGGCTGAGTGGTTAGGGTTGGAGGAGAGATGGTGAGATAGGGAAACAAAGTAGTGATCAGAGACATGGAGGGCAGTCAAAGTGGGATTAGTAGGAGAACAGCCTCTAGTAAAGATGAGGTCAAGTATATTGTCTGCCTTGTGAGTGGGAGGGGACTGGGAAAGGGTGAGGTCAAAAGAGGAAAGGAGGAGAAAGAAGGAGGTGGAAAGAAATGAATTGAAGTCAGACGTAGAGAGGTTGAAGTCGCCCAGTACGATTAGCGGTGGAAATGAGCTTATCAAGGTGTCAAGATCATTGAGGAACTCTCCAAGGGCACCTAGTGGGCGATAGATGACAATAATGTTAAGCTTGAGTGGATAAGTGACTGTGATTGCATGGAATTCAAATGAGGAGATAGATAGGTGAGAGAGGGAGAAAAGAGAATTTTTAAAAAATCTTAGGAGAAATGAGTAGACCTGTGACACCACCGCGATGACCAACCCGCAATAACATCTGCTAAATATGTGTATGTGACCAATGAAATTTGATTTGATTTGAGAAATCCCACCACAAAGGATATCAGGCATAGCCGTTCATAAATATAGTGCTTTTCTACCAACTGAGGTACTCAAAGTGCTTTACATACAAGGGAGAAACTCACCTCATCCACCACCAATGTGTGGCACCCACCTGGGTGATGCATGGCGACCATTTTGTGCCAGAATGCTCACCACACATTAGCTTTCAGGTGGAGAGGTGAGGGGTGATATACAGGGCCTTCACAAAGTATTCACACCCCTTTACTTTTTACACGTTTTGTTGTGTTACAGCCTGAATTTATAATGGATTACGTTTAGATGTTTTTGTCACTGGCCTACACACAATACCCCACAGTGTCAAAGTAGAATGATGTTTTCTAATGTCTTGAGTCAATAAGTATTCACCCCCTTTGTTATGGCAAGCCTAAATACGTTCAGGAGTAAAAATGTGCTTAACAAGTCACATAACAAGTTGAATGGACTCACTCTGTGTGCAATAATATCATTTCTGAGCATCGTAGCACCATTAGGTGCCCAGTTGAGGCCCACTTTTTGGAAACAAACCACTCTATTTCCTCCCTTCTCGGCATTTAACACGTCACCCTCCCGAGGAGAGGAGGTGACCTTGACAATTTATTGTTAAAACGAGAGGCCGTCTGGATCTTTAATTTAAAGACCCTTGCTCCCTTCCCAGTCTCAACGTAGAGTTTGATCTGAAGCCATTCTCGTGGTTATTAAGTTTTTGCTATCCCATTGAAAAATAATGTTTGTAGGCCTGTGTAGCTATGATCGTATGTTATCCATTCATGCTTTTTATATGTTCTATTTATATCTGTAAATTAACCAATGATACAAAGCCACTCCCGGACGTGATACGGGGGTTGACACTTCCACTCTTACGATAAGTGCCGTGGGATTTCTAATGACAGCAGAGAGTCAGGACACCAGTTTAATGTCCCATCCCTGGAGCATTGGGTTACGATAAGTGCCGTGGGATTTCTAATGACCGCAGAGAGTCGGGACACTAATGTCCCATCCCCATATCAACCACTACAGATCTCTATCAGACTGTGATATCAGCCACTACAGATCTCTATCAGACTGTGATATCAGACTGTGATATCAGCCACTACAGATCTCTATCAGACTGTGATATCAGCCACTACAGATCTCTATCAGACTGTGATATCAGCCACTACAGATCTCTATCAGACTGTGATATCAGACTGTGATATCAACCACTACAGATCTTTATCAGACTGTGATATCAGCCACTACAGATCTCTATCAGACTGTGATATCAGACTGTGATATCAACCACTACAGATCTTTATCAGACTGTGATATCAGCCACTACAGATCTCTATCAGACTGTGATATCAGCCACTACAGATCTCTATCAGACTGTGATATCAGCCACTACAGATCTCTATCAGACTGTGATATCAGACTGTGATATCAGCCACTACAGATCTCTATCAGACTGTGATATCAGCCACTACAGATCTCTATCAGACTGTGATATCAGCCACTACAGATCTCTATCAGACTGTGATATCAGACTGTGATATCAACCACTACAGATCTTTATCAGACTGTGATATCAGCCACTACAGATCTCTATCAGACTGTGATATCAGACTGTGATATCAACCACTACAGATCTTTATCAGACTGTGATATCAGCCACTACAGATCTCTATCAGACTGTGATATCAGCCACTACAGATCTCTATCAGACTGTGATATCAGCCACTACAGATCTCTATCAGACTGTGATATCAGCCACTACAAATCTCTATCAGACTGTGATATCAACCACTACAGATCTCTATCAGACTGTGATATCAACCACTACAGATCTCTATCAGCCTGTGATATCAGCCACTACAGATCTCTATCAGACTGTGATATCAGCCACTACAGATCTCTATCAGACTGTGATATCAGACTGCGATATCAACCACTAAAGATCTTTATCAGACTGTGATATCAGCCACTACAGATCTCTATCAGACTGTGATATCAGCCACTACAGATCTCTATCAGACTGTGATATCAGACTGTGATATCAGCCACTACAAATCTCTATCAGACTGTGATATCAACCACTACAGATCTCTATCAGACTGTGATATCAGCCACTACAGATCTCTATCAGACTGTGATATCAGCCACTACAGATCTCTATCAGACTGTGATATCAGCCACTACAGATCTCTATCAGACTGTGATATCAGCCACTACAGATCTCTATCAGACTGTGATATCAGCCACTACAGATCTCTATCAGACTGTGATATCAGCCACTACAGATCTCTATCAGACTGTGATATCAACCACTACAGATCTCTATCAGACTGTGATATCAGACTGTGATATCAGCCACTACAGATCTCTATCAGCCTGTGATATCAGCCACTACAGATCTCTATCAGACTGTGATATCAACCACTACAGATCTCTATCAGACTGTGATATCAGCCACTACAGATCTCTACAGACTGTGATATCAGCCACTACAGATCTCTATCAGACTGTGATATCAGCCACTACAGATCTCTATCAGACTGTGATATCAGACTGTGATATCAGCCACTACAGATCTCTATCAGACTGTGATATCAGCCACTACAGATCTCTATCAGACTGTGATATCAGCCACTACAGATCTCTATCAGACTGTGATATCAGCCACTACAGATCTATATCAGACTGTGATATCAGCCACTACAGATCTCTATCAGACTGTGATATCAGCCACTACAGATCTCTATCAGACTGTGATATCAACCACTACAGATCTCTATCAGACTGTGATATCAGCCACTACAGATCTCTATCAGACTGTGATATCAGCCACTACAGATCTCTATCAGACTGTGATAGCAGCCACTACAGATCTCTATCAGACTGTGATATCAGCCACTACAGATCTCTATCAGACTGTGATATCAGCCACTACAGATCTCTATCAGACTGTGATATCAGCCTCTACAGATCTCTATCAGAATGTGATATCAGCCACTACAGATCTCTATCAGACTGTGATATCAGCCACTACAGATCTCTATCAGACTGTGATATCAGCCACTACAGATCTCTATCAGACTGTGATATCAGCCTCTACAGATCTCTATCAGAATGTGATATCAGCCACTACAGATCTCTATCAGCCTGTGATATCAACCACTACAGATCTCTATCAGACTGTGATATCAGCCACTACAGATCTCTATCAGACTGTGATATCAGCCACTACAGATCTCTATCAGACTGTGATATCAGCCACTACAGATCTCTATCAGACTGTGATATCAGCCACTACAGATCTCTATCAGACTGTGATATCAGCCACTACAGATCTCTATCAGACTGTGATATCAGCCACTACAGATCTCTATCAGACTGTGATATCAGCCACTACAGATCTCTATCAGACTGTGATATCAACCACTACAGATCTCTATCAGACTGTGATATCAGACTGTGATATCAGCCACTACAGATCTCTATCAGCCTGTGATATCAGCCACTACAGATCTCTATCAGACTGTGATATCAGCCACTACAGATCTCTATCAGACTGTGATATCAGCCACTACAGATCTCTATCAGACTGTGATATCAACCACTACAGATCTCTATCAGACTGTGATATCAGCCACTACAGGTCAGAGTAGGGCACTATGTGGAATGGGGTGGTAAATGGGGTGCAACCCCAGAATGGTCCAGCGGTTGTGACATTGTGTTCCATACCTAATGATGTCAGATGAAAGCAGCGATGCGGTCGATATGATTGGCTGGCTCTTTTAATTGCAGATGGTTCTGTTTTGCAATGGTAATGTTACAATGGCTCAGCGGACTTCACCTGGGGGACACACACACTCACACACACACACACACACACACACACGCACGCACACACACACACACACACACACACACACACACACACACACACACAATCCTGGCTTCAAACACACTTTACTTCTGGTCAATAATTGAACAGTTAGAATTGTGTCAGCCCAGTGTCCAGCCTAGCCTCCAGCCCTGTCTTTAGCCAAGCCTCCAGCCCTGTCTTTAGCCCAGCCTCCAGCCCTGTCTTTAGCCCAGCCTCCAGCCCTGCGTTTAGCCCAGCCTCCAGCCCTGCGTTTAGCCCAGCCTCCAGCCCTGCATTTAGCCCAGCCTCCATCCCTGCGTTTAGTCCAACCCAGTGTACTGCCCAGCCTACAGCCCTGCGTTTAGCCCAGCCTCCATCCCTGCGTTTAGTCCAACCCAGTGTACTGCCCAGCCTACAGCCCTGCGTTTAGCCCAGCCTCCATCCCTGCGTTTAGTCCAACCCAGTGTACTGCCCAGCCTACAGCCCTGCGTTTAGCCCAGCCTACAGCCCTGCGTTTAGCCCAACCCAGTGTACTGCCCAGCCTACAGCCCTGCGTTTAGCCCAGCCTCCAGCCCTGTCTTTAGCCCAGCCTCCAGCCCTGCGTTTAGCCCAGCCTCCAGCCCTGCCTCCTGCCCTGCGTTTAGCCCATCCTCCAGCCCTGCCTCCTGCCCTGCGTTTAGCCCAGCCTCCAGCCCTGCGTTTAGCCCAGCCTACAGCCCTGCGTTTAGCACCAGCCTCCTGCCCTGCCTTTATCCCAGCCCAGTGTCCTGCCCAGCCTCTTGCGTTTAGCCCAGCCCATCCTCCAGCCCTGCCTCCTGCCCTGCGTTTAGCCCATCCTCCAGCCCTGCCTCCTGCCCTGCGTTTAGCCCAGCCCATCCTCCAGCCCAGCCTCCTGCCCTGCCTCTAGCCTTCATCCTCCTGCCCTGCCTTTAGCCCAGCCCAGTGTCCTGCCCAGCCTCTTGCCCTACCTTTAGCCCAGCCCTGCCTCCAGCCTTCAGCCCATCCTCCAGCCCTGCCTCCTGCCCTACCTTTAGCCCAGCCCTGCCTCCAGCCTTCAGCCCATCCTCCAGCCCTGCCTCCTGCCCTGCCTTTAGCCCAGCCCTGCCTCCAGCCCATCCTCCAGCCCTGCCTCCTGCCCTACCTTTAGCCCAGCCCTGCCTCCAGCCTTCAGCCCATCCTCCAGCCCTGCCTCCTGCCCTGCCTTTAGCCCAGCCCTGCCTCCTGCCCTGCCTCTAGCCTTCATCCTCCTGCCCTGCCTCCTGCCCTGCCTCCAGCCTCCTGCCTTGCCTCTAGCCTTCATCCTCCTGCCCTGTCTCCAGCCCCTCCCGGGGTAAACAGTGATAAGGAGCTGTGTGGCGCTCATTAAGCCTGTTATATGCAGCACGGATGTCCGGGATCCTCGTCTCTCTCTCTCTCTCTGTGTGTTACGTAGCCTCTCACATCTGAACGGCTAGTTCTGACCTTCACAACCTGTTTTATTTTCATTTCCATAGCAACTTTAGGCCCTTCCCCTCTGTTTACCCAGTCAATATATTGACGTCTAATCTTTCATGGTATCAACCACAGGCAATAATAGTATCCATTACGGCTCTGAGTTGGCAAATAAAGTCTGCTTTGATCTCTGTTTCCTACCTGGGAATACAAATAAGTAGCAGTACAGTAGCCTAGCACTGCGTCAGCAGTCTGGTTATTATAGGCCCACCTACAGTAGAAGCAGTCTGGTTATTATAGGCCCACCTACAGTAGAAGCAGTCTGGTTATTATAGGCCCACCTACAGTAGAAGCAGTCTGGTTATTATAGGCCCACCTACAGTAGAAGCAGTCTGGTTATTATAGGCCCACCTACAGTAGAAGCAGTCTGGTTATTATAGGCCCACCTACAGTAGAAGCAGTCTGGTTATTATAGGCCCACCTTACAGTAGAAGCAGTCTGGGTTATTATAGGCCCACCTACAGTAGAAGCAGTCTGGTTATTATAGGCCCACCTACAGTAGAAGCAGTCTGGTTATTATAGGCCCACCTACAGTAGAAGCAGTCTGGTTATTATAGGCCCACCTACAGTAGAAGCAGTCTGGTTATTATAGGCCCACCTACAGTAGAAGCAGCTGTATAGCTTTGTATTACAGATAGAATACAGTATGATTGCTTTCTGTTGACATAGTTTATTTGCTCTGTTCCACATGGGTATATACACTGAGTGGACAAAACATTAGGAACACCTGCTCTTTCCATGACATCGACTGACCAGGTGAAAGCTACGATCCCTTATTGATGTAAATTGTTAAATCCACTTCAGTCAGTGTAGATGAAGGGGAGGAGACGGGGTTAAAGAAGGATTTTTAAGCCTTGAGACATGGATTGTGTATTCGTGCCATTCAGAGGTTGAATGGGCAAGACAAAATATTTAAGTGCCTTTGAACGGGGTATGGTAGTAGGTGCCAGGCGCACCGGTTTGTGTCAAGAACTGCAGCGCTGCTGGGTTTTACACGCTTAACAGTTTCCCATGTGTATCAAGAGTGGTCCACCACCCAAAGGACGTCCAGCCAACTTGACACAACTGTGGGAAGCATTGGAGTCAACATGGACCAGCATCCGTGTGGAACGCTTTTGACATCAGATGGCTCATTCATTACAAAACCGACTGATATTGCCAACTACTTTAATGATTTTTTCATTGGCAAGATTAGAAAACTTAGGCATGACATGCCAGCAACTGAAATGACTGTAACACTTAAAAAAGAGCTGCAGTTAGTTTCAGAATGGGTGGCAAGGAATAAGTTAGTCCTAAATATTTCAAAAACTAAAAGCGTTGTATTTGGGACAAATCATTCACTAAACCTAAACCTCAACTAAATCGTGTAATAAATAATGTGGAAATTGAGCAAGTTGAGGAGACTAAACTGCTTGGAGTAACCCTGGATTGTAAACTGTCATGGTCAAAACATATTGATACAACAGTAGCTAAGATGGGGAGAAGTCTGTCCATAATAAAGCACTGCTCTACCTTCTTAACAGCACTATCAACAAGGCAGGTCCTACAGGCCCTAGTTTTGTCGCCCCTGGACTACTGTTCAGTCGTGTGGTCAGGTGCCACAAAGAGGAACTTAGGAAAATTGCAATTGGCTCAGAACAGGGCAGCACGACTGGCCCTTGGATGTACACAGAGAGAAAACATTAATAATATGCATGTCAATCTCTCCTGGCTCAAAGTAGAGGAGAGATTTAAAAAAACATTTAAAAAATACCCCTTATGGAACAGCGGGGACTGTGAAGCAACACAAACATAGACACAGACACACGCACACACACAAATGATAACATACACACTCTACACACACATACACATGGATTTTTCTGTAGTTGTGTCTAATGTAGTTAGGGCTGTATGTATCAGGTTCTGTAGTTGTGTCTACTGTAGTTAGGGCTGTATGTATCAGGTTCTGTAGTTGTGTCTAATGTAGTTAGGGCTGTATGTATCAGGTTCTGTAGTTGTGTCTAATGTAGTTAGGGCTGTATGTATCAGGTTCTGTAGTTGTGTCTACTGTAGTTAGGGCTGTATGTATCAGGTTCTGTAGTTGTGTCTACTGTAGTTAGGGCTGTATGTATCAGGTTCTGTAGTTGTGTCTAATGTAGTTAGGGCTGTATGTATCAGGTTCTGTAGTTGTGTCTAATGTAGTTAGGGCTGTATGTATCAGGTTCTGTAGTTGTGTCTACTGTAGTTAGGGCTGTATGTATCAGGTTCTGTAGTTGTGTCTACTGTAGTTAGGGCTGTATGTATCAGGTTCTGTAGTTGTGTCTACTGTAGTTAGGGCTGTATGTATCAGGTTCTGTAGTTGTGTCTAATGTAGTTAGGGCTGTATGTATCAGGTTCTGTAGTTGTGTCTACTGTAGTTAGGGCTGTATGTATCAGGTTCTGTAGTTGTGTCTACTGTAGTTATGGCTGTATGTATCAGGTTCTGTAGTTGTGTCTACTGTAGTTAGGGCTGTATGTATCAGGTTCTGTAGTTGTGTCTAATGTAGTTAGGGCTGTATGTATCAGGTTCTGTAGTTGTGTCTAATGTAGTTAGGGCTGTATGCATCAGGTTCTGTAGTTGTGTCTACTGTAGTTAGGGCTGTATGTATCAGGTTCTGTAGTTGTGTCTATACTGTAGTTAGGGCTGTATGTATCAGGTTCTGTAGTTGTGTCTACTGTAGTTAGGGCTGTATGTATCAGGTTCTGTAGTTGTGTCTACTGTAGTTAGGGCTGTATGTATCAGGTTCTGTAGTTGTGTCTAATGTAGTTAGGGCTGTATGTATCAGGTTCTGTAGTTGTGTCTACTGTAGTTAGGGCTGTATGTATCAGGTTCTGTAGTTGTGTCTACTGTAGTTAGGGCTGTATGTATCAGGTTCTGTAGTTGTGTCTACTGTAGTTAGGGCTGTATGTATCAGGTTCTGTAGTTGTGTCTAATGTAGTTAGGGCTGTATGTATCAGGTTCTGTAGTTGTGTCTACTGTAGTTAGGGCTGTATGTATCAGGTTCTGTAGTTGTGTCTACTGTAGTTAGGGCTGTATGTATCAGGTTCTGTAGTTGTGTCTACTGTAGTTAGGGCTGTATGTATCAGGTTCTGTAGTT